TACTTGAATGGTATAGTCTCGTAACGTCTGTTGTTCTGAGATATTTGTTAAAAAGCGGCAACCTTTCGCTTGACTTTTCTTTAGTTGTGTGATTGAACGAGGAATATATTTTTGATTGATTGCCATATGTAATGACTGCTTAGGGTCTGTCTGATTAACTTCGGTTCGATCGGTTTAGTCTTGTCATTTTTGTAGTGTTCAATGATTGCTTTTATAATTGATTTTGGCCAGCTTGGTGTGGTTTGATTTAGCCAGTTATTTTTGTGTGCTGTGGAAAGAATGAAGAAACGTTTAAAGCATACTCTGAAGACCTCTTTCGTAGTTCTCTTGTTGCACAATTCCCTTTTTCTGAGTGTCGTGTGAAAGAAAGTGCGAGTGCGACAACAGACAACCAAGCATAAATACTCTTAAGAACCTAAAAATTAATTATTAAAAATATATAAAATAAAATAGCCATTTAGTTTTAAATTAGTCGTTAAGACTTAGTTTTAAATACCACTGCCCCCCTGGAGATGGTAGATCCAAAGAATTCGAGTGTTTTTCTGGCGCCATAGTTGTAAGTTTGTTTTTAGTTTGTAAGCTTGTAGTTACCCGGAAACAAGGGAAAGGCACTCGGATTTGATGGATCCCGCTCTGCGATTATCCCACCCCTGACTCTATCTCAGTTAAAACCTGGCCTAGGACTAAGCGCTACCCCAAAAAACCTGTCCCAAGAAAAAAAAAACAACAATATTCTATCCCCGACTGTCTTACATTACATCTTTGTTTCTTATGATTTTGTATTATGACCCCCAAATGACCCCCTGATTCTTGCTTGACATGCCACCAAAATGAGATTACTAAGAGGCGTCTTGTCTGCCCATTGTTCCTCTTGTAGATGTGAGCGGTTTCATGGACACCACATCGGCGTCGGGTGCGAGTGGCCCCAGTGGTTGGAGCGGGGCCAGCGGTTCCGGGAATCCACCAGTTCCGGGCGACAATGTGGAGGCCAAGCATGAGATCGATTCGGGCATGATGCCGCCACCGATAACCACCCAAATACCGATGGGTGTTCGCCGTTCCTCGTTGCCCAGTGTCACGCCCATGATCACCGATCAGCAGCTGGTCCATCTCAATGCGGCGGTGGCCAATGCGGAGGCCCTCAAGACGGAACTCCTCGATGACAGCAACTCGCACAGTCCCCTGACCGGCGAGTCTACGCCGGATAGCCCGAATGCAGCCCTGCAGTATCATCGCTTTGTGCGGAAGCCCAGCCTGGACACGATCATGTACGATCAGTCCAATAGTCTGCCCGGTTTCCCGGCCGTTGTGGCACCGGCAACAGCTGCTGCCGTCGCTGCTGCCGTGGATATCGATCCGGCCGCGGTGGCTGTAGCGGTGGAACTGGCCGTCAAGAATGAGATCGTAAAGCATGTGGTGCAGCAGCATCAGCAGATGCAGGAGCAAATGCAGGAGCAGCAGCAGCAACAACAGCAGCAGCAACAGCAACAGCAGCAGCAACCCCAGCAGCAGCAACAGCAGCAGCAGCATCAACAGCAGCAGCAGCAACAGGTGCATAAGTTCATCGATGAGCTGACCAAATCCACATCGGTGGTCACCAGCAATGGCACCAGTGAGCCAGCTCTGTTCACCTCCTCGGCGGTGATTGATCATGCTCTGACCGATATACTGCAGGCCAAGGTGGGCATTGCCCCGCCCAATGTGGTGCTGGAGAGGAGTTTGTCCCTGAGCTCCACGAACTCCAGCAGTTCCATGAGCGGCAGCGAGAGTTCACCGAACAGTTCACCCCTAACCCAGGATATCATACTCAATTCAGAGCCGGCGGCAGCTCTGGCCGGAGCAGCTGCCTTGGGCGGCCCAGCGCCCGTCGATGTCACCGGTGGCCTGTCCACCGATATCATCATGAATCCTGCCGTTTCCCCCTCGACGATTTTGTGCTCCGCCAATGGAGCGGCCACGGCAGTGGTGCCCAATATACTGGCACCCCATCAGGTGACCATGGCCAACTCCATATTGAACGACATAGCCATGCAGCCGGAACCCACACAGCAGGATGCAGCGGTGGCTGCCTTGGCGCTGAGTAACATCATGATGAGTCCGCCCACGGCGGCATCGGGTGTGGGAGTGGTGGACACACTGCCACCCACGCCGGTAGCTATGCAGCCCGAGGTGGCGGCCACCGCCACGTCCACGGCGGTGAGCAACATGATCATCAAGGCGGCGGCGGATTTTATAACCACCCAGGAGCAGGAGCAGCACCACTATCATCATCATGGTCGCGTCCACTCCCATTCGCCCCAGGCAGCCGTGGGTGTGAGCGGTAATCCCGCGGAGACGGCATCTGATCCTTTGGTCAATTTGCTACTGAACCACTCAAACACACCGGAAACAGCGGCTGCTGCCGCTGCAGCGGTGGCTGTGGAGGCGGCCAACTTCCAGTCGATGAACCACAGCCATCACTCGCACCATGGTCATCATGGTCACGGTCACAGTCATGGCCACGGCCACGGACGCGTCACGGGACACGTTGCGGGCCATGTGACAAGCCACCATCATGGCCACCACTTGCCGGTGGTGCCGCCGACACCACAAGAATCTCTGATCGTTGCGCTGGCCAGCGAGAATGCGCTGCAAAAGTCGGTAGCCACCGCCGCGGTGACAACCAATGGAGCTGTGATGACGCAACAGGCATCCGCACCCAATACCGCCGGCAGCATCCTACCGGCAGCGGTTGGAGCGGTGGCTGCGGCGGCGGCCGTGGCGGTACAGCCGCCCATTCCCCAGGAGCTGACCACGATGTCGGATCAGGATTTGATCAGCTACATCAATCCGAGCACCTTCGATCAGCGTGAGTTTTATAGATTTCCGTTAAGAGTGTCGATGGATGGATAGTTAAGAACCTAGAAAAACCTTGAACTGCATAATCAAGTTATAAATAAATAGTTTCTTGAATGATATTTATCTACGACACTCTTTCTGATCTTATATTTCATATAAAGTCATTCCTAATTGATTTTTATCTGTGTTTCCTTGCAGTTTAAACGGCTTCAGATCAACAAATTAAACTATTTGGACTTGTTTTTTTTTTAAATAACAATAAATGTCACTCCTACACAGGCTTAGGCTTAAGTATATATGTAGTATATAGACCCACACACAAACACACAAGATTAGATGGATTAAAGGTTTCATGTGGACCAACTTTTTGACCAAGTGGATGGATTAAAATCGGGAGAAGAGAGTAAAAACCACAAACACACCCACATATTAGTAGCTGTAGCTTTGTTTACGTTTAGGAATAAACCTTACTCTATATGGAATACCTACAATTATTTTTTTTTGTTTTTTTTTGCTAATTTAATATTGATTTTTGAAAACAATAATCAACTTATCTCAAGAGGTAAATTTATAACAATGATAACGACTGCCATATACCTACGAAATATAACATGAACTCCCGAAAGTGAAGAATGAGAAGCGAAAATGAAAATGAAGAATTCAAATATCGACCGCAAAAATCCAAAACTGAAGAAAGAACTAACTTTCAAAAAAAATGTTGATTACACTTTTTGCTGGAAAACATAATTTTCATAATGAAGTCTGATTTGTAAACTTCCTTTTTATTTGTTTGAGAATTTAAGATATATATTTTATAGTTAAAGCCTTACTGAACGTTTTGGCACTACAAATTAAGCTTAATTAATTTTGGGAAAATAAAAAAAAAACCGACGAAAAGAAATTATTATTATACAGTTAATAATTTATAACAAAAAAAGAGTACATATTATGTGTAGCTACGAATATAATGAATATGCGAGAAATTCCAAAAGACTTTTTTGATTTAAAGAAAATGCAATTATTATTTTGTTTATGGTTTAATCATTTTTATTTTAACTTATATCGAAGGAACACACACACAAATAAAGATGTAACTAATGTTATTACTATTATTATTATTATTAAATCGCTATTATTATGAATACCCTTAATGTTGATAGTTGTTATGTGTAGCGTTGTAAGCCAGATGTGGGTGCAATCCTAGCCCATTAACCGTACGAAAATAAGAACCCACAAAACTGAAAATATAAGAAAGAACAAACCCCTCAACCAAACTACATTGAGCAAAAAGCGATCTAGAATATAGTACCGATTGACGGTTGAATGACCTTCAGCACTTGTTATGCCAGCCCCAAATAAAGATCAAGACCGAGAGAACTCTGCATTTGTATGCCCAATGCCCAATGCCCAACTATTTATAAACATTTACAAATATTCCAACCACGAATTTCGCCCACTCCCAAGAACCGAACTAACTGAGAACCTATAACTATAAATGTTTTTTTTTTGTATTATCTTGGTACAATTTGATTGACATACGTAATCTAGATGTTCATGGAGTCGATAAATGTGTTAAACAATCTCAGAGATTGCATATTCCTCATTAAATTAAATGTTACAGTCAAGTCAATGAACGAAAGAGATAGCGTTAGTAAGTGCAACTGAGGTGAAGAGAGATAGATAGAGAGCGAGAGAAAGAGAGGGAGCGAAGAGCCCGCGCTTAAGAATTGTTAGTGTTAAATGTTATACACCTATATATACATTATTTATGTTATATATATATACACACATATATCTAACTTTACAATGAATAAAATAAATGTATTTTTGATGTTCTTATTGCCCAAAGTGCAGAACCGTGCAAAGCCACTGAAAACCCCGAAGAAAACTCCCTGAACTTTGTAAACGATCACACTCAAACCTATCAATTGAAGAAATCACAAACCTAGAATTCACCAAACCCAATTTGTCTACAATCCTCCCTAAAGAAACAATATTAATCTGCTCGTTATCTCTTTTTATGTGAATAAAAAAGGAAATCTTTCAAAAAGAATCATGTTGCGTCTTTTTTCAATGGAAATGGGTGTTAGAATCTGAGTAAAAGTAGATCAACGCTAGCTAATATTGCTGAACTTTTTTACCATAGGCAAGCTGCTTCAATCTTCTTGGTAATAATTTTATTTATAAAGAATATATTATTGTCAACATAAGTAGGTATATCAGTAGTTTTTTTGTACAAAAATATAGTTTTAACAAATTCAACGACTTAGACAAAAGAACTCATGGCTAGGAGTATGCCCTCCCGAAGCGATTGATGAATCCAGGCAGAGTTTAAAACTTTGTCAGCGCTCAACTTGGAATGATTACTCAGCCAGTGCTCAAACTTATCCTTATCCAGGTCGGAGGACATGCAGATGAATCCTAGATTAAGGTCCGGATCGGATTCGTCGACCAGCTTGCCGCCGTTTTGTAGGAACAGAAGCTTGCCCAGTTCATCACCATGTGGATCGTAGAAATAGGCATGCAGGTGACGGAACAGGTTCAGGTTTGTCTTCCCATCCAGCAGCTGATCCTCCAGAGCGTTCAACTCAGCTGTGGTAATGTCAGCCAAAATCTCGGGCGTCAATTCAATGTCCTGCAGCAACTCCTGCAGCTCCGCCACGTCGGCAATATCCTTGTTGTAGCTATCGCCCAGACGGTCAAAGCACTCGGCCAGATCCTGCTGCAATGGTACGGTGGCCGACAGGAGATCCTTGGGCTTAAGCTCGAGCTCCTGCTTCTGGCAGACCCTTAGAAGCCACTCCATGCGCACAATGTCACAGGAGCGCGGCTCCTGAAGGCAGAGCCGCTTGACCAGGAACGTTTCGTCGCCGGCAATGCAAAAACACTTCGGATCGTTGAGCAGCGGATTTTCCACAATGCAGCCACCGTTTTTGGCGGCCAGCTCCTGCAGCTGATGCTTGCTCTGCCGTCCGGCAGCTCCGCTCAGGATGCAAAAGCTGAGTCCCTCGAAGAGCTTGGAACTGCTCGCGGCGGGGTCCACATTACAGCGCTTCTCGTAAACGGCCAATCCCAGGCGGTTGCGCTCCGATGGAGTCATCCGCAGCTGCTTCCGCTTGGTGGTCACATCCTCCATTCGCAGCTGCCGCTTGTTCAGTTTCTTGATGGCCGTGGAACCCTCGCAGAGGTCGGTAAACTCCTTTAGTGTCATACACTCGCTCCACGACTTGTCATCGCGTTTCATTTCAGTGCGCGCAAAGTGCAATGATTTGCGGGTGAAGAACGCTCCATTGGGCGACAAATCGGCGGCCTTCACCTGTAGGATGATCGAGTTTTGCGGATCGATCCACAGATCAGGGCATCCTGCCCGTTCCTTAGGCTTGTAGTGAAACCACAGCGGCGGTGGCTCCTTGATCACATCGTGCCAATGCGGTTTCAGCGTGTGATTTAGCACGCCGCGCTGTCTTGTGTTGTTGGTGACCACGCCGATGCTGAAGACCTCGGGGCGATTGGAGCTGCCAGGAGGCGCTGGCTGGAGAACGCCCAGCAGAAAGGAGTCCACAAAGGTGCGCTTGCGGTTGTAGAAGGCGCCAATGATCAGCACATCGAACTCGGTGATCAGACCTTTGATGTACTGGACGGCAAAAGAGATGAGTTAAAATATTTAGATTCCAACAAACTCTGAAGTGAACTCTACTCACATCGGCTTTGTCCTTGTACCAGCCACCGCCCAGTCTTACGCCCGGTTGATATCTGGAACCCTGCTTCTTTAGCACAATGCCCTCGGCGTGGGAGTCGAGAGCCTGCTGGAACAGCTCATTGAATTCCTCAACTGAGCCGATTTTGCGGGCTCGCATCAACTGCAGCACACCCGGCTGCTCGACGATCATTTTCTGCAGCTTGTACGCCCGCTGGATGTAGGTGTGATCCAGCAGACTCTGGCCATTGAAGTAGAGCAGATCGTAGACCACAAAGCAGGGCTGCCAGCTGCCCTCTGGTTTCAGGCTCTTCACGTCCGTGTTCTCGCCCTTTTCCCGGAAGCGCAACTGGTTCGTGTCCCATACCATCATCTCGCCATCGAGGATAATGGACTCCAGACCAAGTGGAAGTAGACCCCTCAGTTTGGGCGTCAAGGTGCCCTGATCATAGCCCATGCCGAAGTTTCGGGTGTAGTCCACGCCATTCCGGGAGATGTACATGAAGCGTCCGCGGTCGATGTGCAGCTGGAAACGCTCGCCGTCCATTTTGGTCTCCATGTAGAGCACATCCGATTGCATTAGCTCCTGGATGTCGCCCGGAAATCGTTCGCACAGCATGGGTCGTATCTGATGGAATGGCCGGATGACGGCATTCAGGTTAACGAACTTGACGGCGGCTTTGCTGTCCGTACTAGTGCTGGCGTCCATGTCGGTGGTCCTGTCCGCCAGCAGATTGCACACGTGTCCCAGATCAGAGCAGCGCTGGTAGATGTCCTGCGCCTTGGGATGCAGCACCCCGAAGATCTTCTGCTCCCCGATGCCCAGACCCAGGCTCTTCAGCAGCAGCCGGATTAGCCATTTCTGCTCCTCGGGCGAGGCCTGCTCCGTGAAACGAATGAGCTGCTGCTTCTTTACTGCAACGAGTGTCAGTTTGGGCAGAGGGGTTTAGGCAGTTCACCCACCTTCTGTGTCCTCGTTGGCAATGGTATCCAGCATCTCGTGGATGTGCTTCAGTCGCAGATCGCTGGGCGGATTAAAGCACCTGGGCTTGAGCACGGAATAGACGACATCGCCGTAGTCCCGGTACATGTTCCCGCTGCGGTGCTGCAGCTTGACGGCATCGCTGGCTGAAGGGAGCAATAGAATGGTTATAGTAGTGGCCTATGCTCCCCATCTCCATCACAACATCCACTTACAGTCCACCGGCAGTTGGAGCACCTTGATGTATAGTCTGCCCAGGGCCGTGATCTGCAGTCCATAGGTATCCCGACCCGTGTCCGCACCGGGGAGCAGCAGGCGCAACACGGAGTAGAAGCTACTGACTCCATTCTCCGCCTGGTCGTCGGGCAGCCCGGTTTGCCGGCGAAAGGACTCGCGGTGCCGGCAAAAGGACTCGTAGTAGCTCTTGAGCACCTCCTCCTTGTTGGCCACCTTCCTGGTGGCCTTCAGCTTCTCGAACAGGTCGCAAATGTCCCGGAACTTGATTGTGCTGGCTATATCCACGCTCATCGTGTTGAAAACTAATAATAATAGTACTAATCTACCTATACTATATATTCATAAACAATTTCATCATATTTTTGAACTCACAGCTGTCAAGCTATCGATGCTCTGTCGATAGTATCGATAGAAAATGTCGTTGGTGTCACTATCGATGTTTTCAAGGTCTATTGGTATTGGGACATTTTCGACAATTAAATTAAAATTAAATTTAATAAAAGGCAATAATAATATAAATATAGTTTTGAAATTTTGTCCAGGCTTAAATGCCAATTGATTTTTTAGGGCGAAAAAATGGGATTCCGATTTTTGTCATAAATACGAGATTCAGATTTTAGTCAATAATACGATTTTTCTTTTTGTTTTGAACAGCTTGCTTAATATGCTAACGATCCTCATCATTTTTAGGAAAATTTATTTTTTGACCAATTTTCTCACATTTTTTCGAAAAATGGCAAAAAAAAATAAAATTTTCATGTTAGAATGCCAATCCATTGGAAATTAAACAACGATCTCAACGAGGTATGACATTCCGCATTCCGACTTATACTTTTGATGGGGCAGCCAAAAAACTGAACTTTTTTGGTGAAAAAAAGGGTTCAAATTTTTGTCAAAAATACGAAATTTTGCATCGTAGCTCAGCCAAATTAAGGCTGGCTTAATTTGCTAACGATCCTCATCATTTTTAGGAAAATTAATTTTTTGACCAATTTTCTCATTTTTTGTAGGGGTTTCATCACATTTTTTCGAAAAATGGCAAAAAATGAAAAATTTTCAGGTTAGAATGCCAATCGATTGGAAATTAAACAACGATCTCAACGAGGTATGACATTCCGCATTCTGACTTATACTTTTGTTATGGCAGCCAAAAAACTGAACTTTTTTGGTGAAAAAAAGGGTTCAAATTTTTGTCAAAATTACGAAATTCAGATTTTTGTAAAAAATGCGACATTTTTTTTCGGTTTTTGCATCGTAGCTCAGCCAAATTAAGGCGTACAGCTAAAAGACCGACTGTTTTGAACAGCTGGCTTAATTTGCTAACGATCCTCATCATTTTTAGGAAAATTAATTTTTTGACCAATTTTCTCATTTTTTGTAGGGGTTGCATCACATTTTTTCGAAAAATGGCAAAAAATGAAACATTTTCAGGTTAGAATGCCAATCGATTGGAAATTAAACAACGATCTCAACGAGGTATGACATTCCGCATTCTGACTTATACTTTTGTTATGGCAGCCAAAAAACTGAACTTTTTTGGTGAAAAAAAGGGTTTAAATTTTTGTCAAAAATTCGAAATTCAGATTTTTGTAAAAAATGCGACATTTTTTTTCGGTTTTTGCATCGTAGCTCAGCCAAATTAAGGCGTACAGCTAAAAGACCGACTGTTTTGAACAGCTGGCTTAATTTGCTAACGATCCTCATCATTTTTAGGAAAATTAATTTTTTGACCGATTTTCTCATTTTTTGTAGGGGTTTCATCACATTTTTTCGAAAAATGGCAAAAAATGAAAAATTTGCAGGTTAGAATGCCAATCGATTGGAAATTAAACAACGATCTCAACGAGGTATGACATTCCGCATTCTGATTTATACTTTTGTTATGGCAGCCAAAAAACCGAACTTTTTTGGTGAAAAAAAGGGTTCAAATTTTTGTCAAAAATTCGAAATTCAGATTTTTGTCAAAAATGCGAAATTTTTTTTTGGTTTTTGCATCGTAGCTCAGCCAAATTAAGGCGTACAGCTAAAAGACCGACTGTTTTGAACAGCTGGCTTAATTTGCTAACGATCCTCATCATTTTTAGGAAAATTAATTTTTTGACCAATTTTCTCATTTTTTGTAGGGGTTGCATCACATTTTTTCGAAAAATGGCAAAAAATGAAAAATTTTAAGGTTAGAATGCCAATCGATTGGAAATTAAACAACGATCTCAACGAGGTATGACATTCCGCATTCTGACTTATACTTTTGTTATGGCAGCCAAAAAACTGAACTTTTTTGGTGAAAAAAAGGGTTCAAATTTTTGTCAAAAATTCGAAATTCAGATTTTTGTCAAAAATGCGAAATTTTTTTTTGGTTTTTGCATCGTAGCTCAGCCAAATTAAGGCGTACAGCTAAAAGACCGACTGTTTTGAACAGCTGGCTTAATTTGCTAACGATCCTCATCATTTTTAGGAAAATTAATTTTTTGACCAATTTTCTCATTTTTTGTAGGGGTTGCATCACATTTTTTCGAAAAATGGCAAAAAATGAAAAATTTTCAGGTTAGAATGCCAATCGATTGGAAATTAAACAACGATCTCAACGAGGTATGACATTCCGCATTCTGACTTATACTTTTGTTATGGCAGCCAAAAAACTGAACTTTTTTGGTGAAAAAAAGGGTTCAAATTTTTGTCAAAAATTCGAAATTCAGATTTTTGTCAAAAATGCGAAATTTTTTTTTGGTTTTTGCATCGTAGCTCAGCCAAATTAAGGCGTACAGCTAAAAGACCGACTGTTTTGAACAGCTGGCTTAATTTGCTAACGATCCTCATCATTTTTAGGAAAATTAATTTTTTGACCAATTTTCTCATTTTTTGTAGGGGTTGCATCACATTTTTTCGAAAAATGGCAAAAAATGAAAAATTTTCAGGTTAGAATGCCAATCGATTGGAAATTAAACAACGATCTCAACGAGGTATGACATTCCGCATTCTGACTTATACTTTTGTTATGGCAGCCAAAAAACTGAACTTTTTTGGTGAAAAAAAGGGTTCAAATTTTTGTCAAAAATTCGAAATTCAGATTTTTGTAAAAAATGCGACATTTTTTTTCGGTTTTTGCATCGTAGCTCAGCCAAATTAAGGCGTACAGCTAAAAGACCGACTGTTTTGAACAGCTGGCTTAATTTGCTAACGATCCTCATCATTTTTAGGAAAATTAATTTTTTGACCAATTTTCTCATTTTTTGTAGGGGTTGCATCACATTTTTTCGAAAAATGGCAAAAAATGAAAAATTTTCAGGTTAGAATGCCAATCGATTGGAAATTAAACAACGATCTCAACGAGGTATGACATTCCGCATTCTGACTTATACTTTTGTTATGGCAGCCAAAAAACTGAACTTTTTTGGTGAAAAAAAGGGTTAAAATTTTTGTCAAAAATTCGAAATTCAGATTTTTGTCAAAAATGCGAAATTTTTTTTTGGTTTTTGCATCGTAGCTCAGCCAAATTAAGGCGTACAGCTAAAAGACCGACTGTTTTGAACAGCTGGCTTAATTTGCTAACGATCCTCATCATTTTTAGGAAAATTAATTTTTTGACCAATTTTCTCATTTTTTGTAGGGGTTTCATCACATTTTTTCGAAAAATGGCAAAAAATGAAAAATTTTCAGGTTAGAATGCCAATTGATTGGAAATTAAACAACGATCTCAACGAGGTATGACATTCCGCATTCTGACTTATACTTTTGTTATGGCAGCCAAAAAACTGAACTTTTTTGGTGAAAAAAAGGGTTCAAATTTTTGTCAAAATTACGAAATTCAGATTTTTGTAAAAAATGCGACATTTTTTTTCGGTTTTTGCATCGTAGCTCAGCCAAATTAAGGCGTACAGCTAAAAGACCGACTGTTTTGAACAGCTGGCTTAATTTGCTAACGATCCTCGTCATTTTTAGGAAAATTAATTTTTTGACCAATTTTCTCATTTTTTGTAGTTTCATCACATTTTTTCGAAAAATGGCAAAAAATGAAAAATTTTCAGGTTAGAATGCCAATCGATTGGAAATTAAACAACGAGCTCAACGAGGTATGACATTCCTCATTCTGACTTATACTTTTGTTATGGCAGCCAAAAAACTGAACTTTTTTGGTGAAAAAAAGGGTTCAAATTTTTGTCAAAAATTCGAAATTCAGATTTTTGTCAAAAATGCGAAATTTTTTTTTGGTTTTTGCATCGTAGCTCAGCCAAATTAAGGCGTACAGCTAAAAGACCGACTGTTTTGAACAGCTGGCTTAATTTGCTAACGATCCTCATCATTTTTAGGAAAATTAATTTTTTGACCAATTTTCTCATTTTTTGTAGGGGTTTCATCACATTTATTCGAAAAATGGCAAAAAATGAAAAATTTTCAGGTTAGAATGCCAATCGATTGGAAATTAAACAACGAGCTCAACGAGGTATGACATTCCTCATTCTGACTTATACTTTTGTTATGGCAGCCAAAAAACTGAACTTTTTTGGTGAAAAAAAGGGTTCAAATTTTTGTCAAAATTACGAAATTCAGATTTTTGTAAAAAATGCGAAATTTTTTTTCGGTTTTTGCATCGTAGCTCAGCCAAATTAAGGCGTACAGCTAAAAGACCGACTGTTTTGAACAGCTGGCTTAATTTGCTAACGATCCTCATCATTTTTAGGAAAATTAATTTTTTGACCAATTTTCTCATTTTTTGTAGGGGTTGCATCACATTTTTTCGAAAAATGGCAAAAAATTAAAAATTTTCAGGTTAGAATGCCAATCGATTGGAAATTAAACAACGATCTCAACGAGGTATGACATTCCGCATTGTGACTTATACTTTTGTTATGGCAGCCAAAAAACTGAACTTTTTTGGTGAAAAAAAGGGTTCAAATTTTTGTCAAAATTACGAAATTCAGATTTTTGTAAAAAATGCGACATTTTTTTTCGGTTTTTGCATCGTAGCTCAGCCAAATTAAGGCGTACAGCTAAAAGACCGACTGTTTTGAACAGCTGGCTTAATTTGCTAACGATCCTCATCATTTTTAGGAAAATTAATTTTTTGACCAATTTTCTCATTTTTTGTAGGGGTTTCATCACATTTTTTCGAAAAATGGCAAAAAATGAAAAATTTTCAGGTTAGAATGCCAATCGATTGGAAATTAAACAACGAGCTCAACGAGGTATGACATTCCTCATTCTGACTTATACTTTTGTTATGGCAGCCAAAAAACTGAACTTTTTTGGTGAAAAAAAGGGTTCAAATTTTTGTCAAAAATTCGAAATTCAGATTTTTGTCAAAAATGCGAAATTTTTTTTTGGTTTTTGCATCGTAGCTCAGCCAAATTAAGGCGTACAGCTAAAAGACCAACTGTTTTGAACAGCTT